TGATAAATGTACTAGATCACGAATTCTTATGTAACAATATTTTTTAAATTTAGTTCTACACTTTGACACACGATTGAAATATTGAAAAATCAATGTTCCTAAATTATTTAACAGTCTCTCTCGAGTAAAGTCAAACATATTCTAATATGTGACCTGACTATATCTCTATGGCGGATGTAAACATACAAGAATGCATGAGTTTTTGAGAGCACTTAAAAATTCACATAGGGTATAGTGATATATTTCTATTTCCTATCGGACCATATGATGATTTATGTCGCGTCGAACATATTTCCCTTATTTCGAATGCATGAAATAAGCCACCATACTCACACAATTATGTATGCAATAATTATGGAGAAATGAAATTCATATAAACCATTCAAATATCTCAAAAAAACGTGTTTTTGATGTCAAAGATGTAAAACTAAAGATTAAAAATTTATATTACATTATTCATCGTTCTCCTAATATAAATAAATCTAGTCTAGCATGTTATGAAGAAAAAAACACAAAAAATATTGAAGAATCGACATCACCCAATATAATTCTTGAATTTATTCTCGTGTTCTTGGCTTCGATTTTCATGTTCTTTGCTTGTTCTCTACTCCAAAAACTCTTCAAAATATGTTGTAATACGTCCTCCTTACTTTTGAACGGCCCTAGGATTTTAAAAGACGCCTCAAAATTCGTTTCCATAATAGTTGTATTCAAATTAGGAAACTAGAAAATTTTCCCCTATTTGGCCTGGGCGGGTCCCCAGGCTTAGAAAATGGCTCATGTTGATGATGTTGAGGGTCGGGCAATATAATTGGGCGGTTGCCCAGTTATAAACTTTCGTAAATTTTTTTTTCAGTCATTTTCTTCATTCTTTCTTACATCTTGGTCCTCCACATCAAATTATTTCAATTTTAGTGCTTCAACTTTTACTCAAATGCATATGAGTCCCCAAAATTTCATCAATTGACCAATTTATCCTTCTTTCTTTTTCAAGACGGGTCCAAAACTGAAATAAGATAAAATTAACCTAAATTAAGTAAAATGCAATAATAAAACGATATAAAAGCTTAGTAATATGTCCTTAATAAGTGCACAAAAATGCACTTATCAATAGACTACATCAACTTCATAATATTCATCACAGATTCTGAGAGAAAATGATGTCACATAGAAAGCAAGGTCACATAACATAATTCTAAACGTTTGATGCAATTGCTTGTTACGACATCCCAAGTTTGATGCAAATTGTTTGTTGTGACGAGAAAAAAGGTCAAGAAAGATTTTAACAACGGAAGCCACAATTCCATTTCGTACATCTTCGCATAGGGTCAAGCATATCACATTGTCATTGTATATCTACCAATTTAGATCACGTTTGTTATTTTATGTAAATCAATTAATATCAATTTATTTTTGTAAAATTCGCGAAATATGACCTGATTTACGAAAAATTTCTCAAATTTTCTATTCTACAAATGTAATGTTGAATAATGGTAGTTATGAATTTTATCCCCTATAACGTGTTCGGTAGAGATTAAAATTGAAAAATTAGTCATTATTTACTTTTATTAGACGAGCGAGACCCAATAACGACTATATTTTCAATTTTAATTGAATTTTAAGTTTAGCCAAACATGCTCCTAACATATTCTTGGCAGTTCAGCCCCTCAAAACAATTATAATTGAGGGAATAAAAAAGGAGATGGTCCAGCATAGCACCCCACGACACGAAAGAAAAGAAAGCAAAACCAGCTCATGAAACTTTGCTTGCAATCTGCCTTTCCTCATGGGGCATCCGCATAATTGATGTTTGCAGCAAAAGGAGAAAAAATGACCATTGTACTAGCCTTATAATGAATTGTGCATCTGAGAAAATTGATGTTCAATAAGCCAACCTAATGTTTTGATTCGAGCGTAAAATTCAATTAAAATATAAATAAATAAGAATGAGTGATTGATAAATATGTAGTACTTGTGAGTATCACAAAATACGTGAATAAAATAAAATTATTTTTAAGAAAAAAAACTACCAAACATGCTTAGCTTTCAAAGACCCGGGCTATATGTACTGGGGATTGCTAGGGACAGGTGTCTCCTTGGCACTTGTATAGGGGGATATCATGTACAATTGACATTACCCTTGTTCATCTTAACTTTCGATTAGGAGCATGTTTTTAAAATCTCGTTTGATTTTAAATATTTTCAAAATACATTTTTCTTTCTTTTATTTTTAACAATACATTTTTAAATAAAATAATATTTTATGTAAATTGAAAAAAATCTTATTTTTTAATTATATATTTTCTATCAAATTACTATTTCAAAATACATTTTTAACAAAAAATGGAGTTCAAACTTTAAATGTTGATTCAGATATTTGAAAGATATCAAACATATTAAGGTTTTGCCATTTGTACACCGAACTGATGCCTCGGTATGCACTTCCCTCACCATAGAAGAGGGGCATTAGGATGAAACCCGCTAATTAATTAATTAATGAACACCACCTTAATGTGAGAAATTGTAAAAATTACAATCTCCTGATTGTACACCAAGCATTGTTGAAGCCTATATATTATTGCTTACGTTATACTTCTTTCTGTATATGATCTATAGTTTTTAACCCAAAATTGCTGGCCTGTCGAGGACACAGTCATTTTCAGAGCCTAATGTAGAAATGGTCGTCAAAATCAATAAGCAAACAAATCTCAGCTATCAATATTATAAAATAAACGACTAAATCATTCACATGGTCAAATTTCCAATCAATTCTTGAAATTTTTTAACAATTTGAATTTGCAGCTATCACATTCTACTAAAAATCATTCATTGCAAGATAAAACAAGATAATTAAAAATCCCCTTCCAAAGAATACAAGAGCAAGCCATTCTGTACCCCTTCAAATGAACTCTCTATATTTGACAATATGCTAAGGTGTGATTCCAGGGGGAGAGCTCCTCGACTCTTGCGGCGGTGTTTGGCTGTCGGATCCTTTCTCAGACGAATGGTGTATCCCATCATCAGTGTCACCTCTATTCATATCCTCCATCATTCTCACCACTTCTTGCATTGCCGGCCTTTGATCCGGCACTGATGCAACACAAGCCATTCCTATCTGAAGAAGTTGCACCATCTCTTCTTCAACATTATGATACCTCATTAGCTCGATGTCAAACACCTCCGCCGTCCACTCCTCCCGCACTACACTTTGTACCCATCTAGGCAAATCAATCCCTTCTTCACCTAATGAAGCTTGATTTGGTGCTTTGCCGGTCAACAGCTCTAATAATAACACTCCAAAACTGTAGACGTCGGATTTAAATGTGACTTTACGGGTTTCGAGGACCTCAGGTGCACGATAGCCCATTACGCGATGATTGGGTGGGGTTGAGCTCGAGAAGAGTTGGTTGAGCCCAAAATCTGATACACAAGCATCGCGGTTGTCTAGCCTGAGGATGATGTTAGATGACTTGATGTTGCCGTGGACTACTTTTGCTGATACATGCAAGTGCACGAGGCCTCTTGCTGCACTCAATGCTATTCTCATTCTGTTGTCCCAGTCCAGTGGGGTGTGCCCTGAGCCTCGACTACCTATTGAACAATAGACATAAACTTACGTTAAACATCACTCTTACCGTTCACAAATTCGTGTGCTCTATCTTGTGAAACTAGTAATAACTTGACGGGGCAATTTTTTGGCCTAAAAGATCAACTCAAGCGATGCAATGCGCACATATACTGAACATACCATACGAATAGGAAGTCATCAAACCTGGTAACATTAAAAACTAGGTAGCAATAAAAGAATAAGAACAAGCTCAAATTCAATTGATATTACCCTTTTCCAAAGAATTAGCATCATTTAGAGAATGTTTGGCAAAGTTTAATAAGTAAATAAATAAGTTTTTTAATTTATTATATTTGTTAAACTTATAATTAAATTGCTTATTTTGAGTTACTTTAACAAAAATAACTTCTTTTTACTTGGAAGTCAAAAAAAGTGACATCATTTTATGGTTAGACATGTGACCACTGGTGACTTGATGAAGAGGTAAAAGAATAGGGTTGCTATGATATTTTATTTGTTCATCATTAAAGAGGAGAAAAGCATGTCGGTTGAGAATATTGGGAATCTGTTGAAATATTGTCGTAGCACCAAAGCCACTCAACTCATTCATCTTAATAACAAAATATATTATTCAGATTTCAATATTTAATACAAAAATTAAAATTAAAATTTACATAACAAAATATAAAGAAATTTGAATGAATAAATTATTAAGTAAATGGTTATGAACCAAAGTGAAAAAATGAATTGTCACATTCAACACTGTTAAGTGTGTACCCAATTTCAGCTCACATGTATAAAAATTAGCCCAGCTTTTGAGGAATTGAAACTGAACAAAATGGTCCACTCCACGTTGAAAAAGATTATTTGTTTAACTTTATTAGACTGGCAGGCACGGCCAAACGTACTCACTCTAAATTATAAAATTCACAAAATATCAGTTGAAATGGTCTGTATAAACCCCACCCCCACGCCCCCCCAAAATAAAAAAAAAGAAGTTGGGTGGTCCGTGGCATTCTCCAATAATTGAATGGTGAAACAATTTTTCAGAAATGTAAAAACTTATCGTGAACTGAAATTCTTTAAAAATTATCCAAAAAGATAGAGAAGAGGAACTAGAATATACTGAGAAATAATCAAGAACTGGAGAAATTTTTGAATCATATCCAATGAAAATGAAAAATCTTGGAAGTTTTAAGGGGAAGAAGAAGAGTACCATACCATGAAGAAGAGCAGATAAGCTACCAGCAGGCATATAATCAAAGACCAACAATTTCTCATCTTTAGAATAGTAAAAGGCTCTTAATGGCAGCACATTTTCATGCTTAATCTTCCCCAAAACTTCCATTTGCTGTTCAAATTCTTTCTTTGAAGCCACCACATCTTTTAGCCTCTTCACCACAACAATGCTGCCTTCTTCTAACACTGCTTTATAACTAGTACCAACACTTCCTTTTCCTAATACTTCTGCTGAAGCCCTTAACAAATCCTCCAGATCGAAACTATAAGCCCCCGCCTCGAAGAATACCAGTTTATTCCTCTCAGTTTCTGCTGAACCACCAGTTATGTCGTCTTTGGACGACGATGTTCCGGCCTCTCCAGCTGCCCCTGCCGCTGCCCTTGAGACTGCCGGTGGTTTCTGCACTTTGGTTGAGTCTTTTTGTCTTTGCCTTCTTCGACAGCAAAGATAGAGGATTACAAGTAGTAGTAGTAATCCCAGCGCTGCACCTACTGATATTCCTATAATGGCAGCAGTAGAGAGCTTTTTAGACTTTTTGTGGGATGGGGTGATTTTTGGTGGCGCTGATGGGGCAGGAGAAGGTGAAGGGAAAAATGGGTTGCACGGTGGCAATGGTCCGCCGCATAAATCAATATTACCGGTGAAAGCCGATGGAGGGAATCTCGACAGTGATCGGGGAATTGAACCATTCAGGCGATTGTTTGAGACGTTGAAATTCAACAGGCCTGGTTGATTAATGCTCGGAAGTGTGCCGTTGAAGCCATTGTTCTCGAGAAAAATGCCCGTCAACTGAGTTAAATTGTTAACGGCAAAAGGGATTGGCCCAGTAAAGTTGTTTGAAGAGATGTCCAACCGGGTCAGCCGAGTCAACTCAGTTACACTCGCTGGAAACTCGCCGGAGAACCGGTTGTTCTGGAGGTAGAGGCTCCGTAGGTGCTCGAGTTTAGAGAAATCAGGCGGAATTGAACCAGTAAGCCTGTTTGAACGCAGACTCAGAACTCGTAGCTGAGTCAAACGAACCAGTGTGTCAGACGGAATCTCACCCACGAGTCCAACCCCGGGAAGCCTCAAATAATACACAGACGAATTTGTGGGGTCACATTGAACGCCAACCCAATTGCATGCCGAATCAGATTCATTCCACTGGAGACGATTCTCATGTGGAATTTGGGATAGGAAAGCAAGGAGCGCTTGCTTATCCTGAGTCGGCTCCGAGTTGACTCTGTAAAACCCCTGTATAAACAGTATGAACACGGCAGAAAATAAACACCCAGATTGTAGAACCCACCCCATTTTTTCCTTCCTTGTTTCACTCAGTATAAACGATAAACCCAACCCAGATCTTAATAATGAGATTGGAACGGCGGCTTGTGGCGGCGGTTTTTAAGAGACAAAAATTCGATTCTCCGGCGAGAACCCATGCGAAAATTAGTGCGGGTATGTTATGTATATTTGAAGAGAGTCGGGGGAGCGACGAGTGAGTTGGAGTGTAATGTGTAAGGGAAAAAAATGAATATCACTAATGAAGACAAGAAAAAATAGTTGACCAAATTTTTACTGCCTTGTTTGAATGAATTAAATGCATTTAAGTAATTGCATTTATTAGTATTAAAAATATAAATACAGATAATTAAAACGTAATTAATTTACAAGTAATACTATTTCAATCCTCTTACATTTACAGAAATGAATGTTGGACTAAAAAAAAATATAATTCAAGCAGCCAATTAAGGTGTCAGCATTAGTGACATTAAAATTACAAATTTAATTAAATAAAAAGAATTATGACCCATTTAATAATATCTATGACATGCTGACATCTAGACTGGTGTTCAACCCTACTGATGTTAGATAACATTTTTTCTTAACCTTAACAAAAAGAGCATCACTAATTCTTACTAAAGAAATATGGAAAACCATATTTTCTTTCTAAATAATGTTATATAGTCTCAATGTGGTTACAACCCACAATTTAGGTAGCACTACATGATATGTTAAATAAGAAGTGAAATTAAATGATTTTACATATCATTTCGTACCATATTATCATCACCTAGATTGATGCTGTAATCCCAATACGACTAAATAGTAGCGTTTTAAAACCCGGCCCGACCTGATTGGTTCAACTGAAAAAATTGAGAACTGATACCAAAATTGGTCTGGTTAGGCTTATAAAACTTCTAATTGAAAACTCGTCTCAAAACCCATTAAACCGGTTGATTTTTGGAAAACTCGTGACCAATTCCTGGTTTAACCGATTCAACCTATGTAAATATATATTTTTTCAAATTTTTAAATGTATATTTTTTTAAATCATCAGTTCGACCGCGATTCGACATTTTGACTCTTGACTATTTCCTTTTTTCGAGTTGATGATCGGATCGATTTTTAAAATATTGCTAAATAGCATTTCTACTTAAAAAACAAATGAGGGTAGGGTTTCACTTGTTCCAACCAAATCATGTCTATGTGACAAATATAGCCCTATCTTTGGTATCCAAAGTTTATTTTGGTTTGATTCAGTTCAACGTTAGATTCGTAGCATCCAAAGTTTATTTTTGTCCAACTTTAGATTGACACGCGAGACGAGCTTTTGACGAAATGAATTTACATTTTCAATATAAATAATTTTATTTAGTGTTACGGGTGCTTAGCAGTGAAAGTTTCACTTGATAAATTAAAATGACCAAATTACCTCGTAGACTGGTAATTACTCGCGACACCAAATAACATCATGTTTGGTAAAAATTAAAATTTAGATTTTAATCTAAATTAAAATATTTTATAAAAACTACAACTTTTCAACCATATATTATATCAATTTTGATCAAAATTTATTAAAATTTTGATTTTGATCCCTATGGAACGAACATGAACTTGGTTGAAATTTTGCCTGTCCGTCCGGCCTGCCAAAGGGTATGGCTGGCAATTGATTTGAAGAATAAGGAGTATAGGAAAAGAAAGAAAAAGTGAAGGAATGATGACACATGTTTGATGCTGTATTAGCTGTAAAGCAGAAAGACAAAAGCTGTTCTTTCTTTCTTCTTCTCCAATTCCAACCAAATGTATTGCGAACCTTTCCTTCATAACTCACACTACAATGTTTGATGTTTCGTGTGCTGTGCATATTATCAAACCTGCTTGTTTATTTTATGTCAGTTTTAAATTGGCCAAATTATTTAGACGGGATTACATAATTTAAAATAAAAAATCACTTTTAAAGTATTTTTAGATAGTTTTCAAACAAATCAATTTATCCTAAGTTTAAATACCATAATCAATAATTAAAACAGTAAATAATATCAAAGATTATCATGGAAAAACCTCAACTGAGTAAAAACTTCGAGCACTTTATTATATAATAATTCACTATAAATTGAAGCAAATTTACACTACGGTCCAAACCTTTCTACCTCGTATAATTTCTGACCTCAATTCCTGTAGTCTTCCTTGATCCTACTAGAGGTGTACTTTTTTTTAAAAAAAAATCATGACTCCTGGTCTATACCTTAGCCCTCCTAGACTGCGTGTCCCTAGACCCTAAATCCAGATCCCGACTCTTGATACATCACCTTAATTCTCTTGAATGTGTGCTTTTACAATAGCTTCCGATCTCTGATATCGATTTATCTTCGGGTTGGTGTTTAATCAAAAGATCTTTGTGAGTTTTAATCTTGTAGGCTGACGCAAGAGATATTGGAATATGTTTTTGGCTTTCAAAGAACAAACTCTTGACTTATAACAAGTCTCTACTAATTGAATCAATATATAGGTTGAATAATAAACAAATAATATTGTAGTTGAATCAAGGAATCAATGAAATGATGTTTGAATCTTCAAAGAATGATCTCTATAATCAAAATATTGTTTAATCACACTTTTGTACGTCCCATATGATGTATATTATATGATGGGTAGTGTTTGGGATGAAAAAGAACTCAAAATCAGTTTGAAAATCGAATGTTACTATTTCTCGAATAACGACGTCGCTTGAGCGTCAAGTTAGCGACATGCGAGCCGCAACTGAGCAATTGTCAGTATTTTCATCATAACCTTCTCTCTCAATATTCGTTTGAGGTGATTCAAATGCGTTGGAAAGCTAAGTCAAATGGCTACAATTCTTTTAGGTATAGCTTTGTCCAAATTTCAATGTTTTCAATGTGAAAATTGTGTTTCAAGTTGTGACTGAGAATTTGGAGCATAACATGTGTGGCTCTTTCACACTCTTTAGATTTCTAATTGTGTTCCAATGATCATGTGTGATTTTTTTGGATATTTTGGACTCCTTCAAGACATATACTACCAATTTCAACTCTTTTGCTATAACTAAGACTCAATAACTCATATTTTGACTTTGATTACAATTTGATAAACTCCTAATACAATTCAACTAGGACATGATTTTAATTAAGGAATTGTAAGTAACAAATTTCAAAATTGCTAATAATAATTTGGACTCAACATTTTAGAAAAAAAAATACCTATTATGCTCATTTTGCCATGTAAAAGGTGGACGGGGAGGACTAACAACGAACATTAATCAAAGTTTGAGGGTTGATTTAGAACAATTTTTAGTCCGAGGATGAATTTAGAACATGGAGCCAAGTCTGGGAACACTAGGTGTGTTTAGCTTCTCAGGGATTTAGTTGGGTCAAGTTACCTCGTTAGTAAAATTCACACATTGGTACAATCATTGAATGATCAATCAAGGATCGAATCGACCAATCACTAAGGTGTCGTTTTTGGATCGTTTTCTGTTTTCCAAAACAGTGAAAACGTGTTCTCTTTCCTGTTTTCGAAAACACGTTTTTGAAAACGAAAAAAATATTTGTACACAAAACACCAAAACGAAGAAAACGTTTTAGCTGTTTTCAAGTCAAACCCACCCAAAAACCCAAAACACGGGAAACAGTTTTGTGCACTGTTCATTTTTCATCCAAAACAATGGAGCATCCAAAATTTCCACCAGAAATCTCCAACCACCACTGTACCACACCACCAAAAGCACCACCAGAAACCTTCACCACCATAGCCAAAATCGGCATCCTAGAAATACAATCGACAATTGACATCCAAAAAAATATAACCTCCGCCACATGGACCAACATTTTTCTGGATCTGTCTGCTTCAATTACTCATCCCCACAACGTTGAATCATAAAATTGGCCCCAATCAAGTCTTCAGCAGGCACACAGAACCANCATTTTGCCATGTAAAAGGTGGACGGGGAGGACTAACAACGAACATTAATCAAAGTTTGAGGGTTGATTTAGAACAATTTTTAGTCCGAGGATGAATTTAGAACATGGAGCCAAGTCTGGGAACACTAGGTGTGTTTAGCTTCTCAGGGATTTAGTTGGGTCAAGTTACCTCGTTAGTAAAATTCACACATTGGTACAATCATTGAATGATCAATCAAGGATCGAATCGACCAATCACTAAGGTGTCGTTTTTGGATCGTTTTCTGTTTTCCAAAACAGTGAAAACGTGTTCACTTTCCTGTTTTCGAAAACACGTTTTTGAAAACGAAAAAAATATTTGTACACAAAACACCAAAACGAAGAAAACGTTTTAGCTGTTTTCAAGTCAAACCCACCCAAAAACCCAAAACACGGGAAACAGTTTTGTGCACTGTTCATTTTTCATCCAAAACAATGGAGCATCCAAAATTTCCACCAGAAATCTCCAACCACCACTGTACCACACCACCAAAAGCACCACCAGAAACCTTCACCACCATAGCCAAAATCGGCATCCTAGAAATACAATCGACAATTGACATCCAAAAAAATATAACCTCCGCCACATGGACCAACATTTTTCTGGATCTGTCTGCTTCAATTACTCATCCCCACAACGTTGAATCATAAAATTGGCCCCAATCAAGTCTTCAGCAGGCACACAGAACCATGGGTTACATGTCAATTGCAACAATTAATTCAGAAACAGCTCCAATTTTCGAATCCTCCGCGATTTTTCCAAATTACAAATGAAGTTTTCTGTTGTTGTTTGCTGTGAATTGGTGGCATGGTTGTGGTCGTCTGGTGTTGGGGAGTTGTCTGGAAGTGGGTTCCGACCATGGGGGTGGCCGGAATCTTGATTTCCGGCAATTTTCAGTTGAGAAAGCAGCGAACTTTGAACACGAATTCCGGCCTCTGTAGTTATTGGAATTGGGTTCAGTTTGGTGGTATGTAAAGCTTGAAGTGAGGGCTGTCGACTGGTGGTAATGTCTGGCGGCTTTGGTAGCCGGAGCTCACCATAGTTTGGCTTCATTTTGTGGTTGGTGGTGGTCG